AAGCATCCTATTCAGAAGCTGCATTGCTGGTTCCTTGCTGTTTTCTTTAGCCAGAGCTTCCATTCAGGATTTGGCTCATCTGCAAAGGGACTCTACAGCTGTCTCTCTTAATTTCTTCCTCCCACCTCCTGCAGGGGAAACCAAAAAAAATGCAGGTGCTGCTGGTTTGAGGTTTCATTTTTTAGCTCTTCTCTATACCAGTCCTGTGAAGTAGAGTAGTATTTTCCTAATTTTAGAGAATGGGAACTGAGGCACAGCAGATGACTTGGCCAAGGCCCCTCAGGGTAGCTCAGCTGAATTGCACCCAGTTTAAGTCCCTGCCTGTATGGGTGTTGAAAGAGCAAGAGACCAGGGTGTCAGCATTATTTCTTACAGGAAACTGCTTAAAAAGTGCTGCCCTGTGGAGAGGAGCAGACAGGGAAAACAGCTAAAGGTCTTTCTGTGCATGCTCAGTCAGCAAATACCTCGCTGCAAGACATGAGCCTGTGAACGCAGTTGTTCCTTTCTGCTCTCTTCAGAGGACTCTCTTACCTATTTACTCTCACATGGAAACATGTGAGTGGGAGGCCAGAAGCTCTCGACTCGACTCATTTGCGGCAATTCTCCAGTTCAGCAGCTAGGTTTTCTCCCTGAGGCGGTGTAATGTGACAGAAAGGAAGCTTCTGAAAGCATTTCTTCATCCTCAGGATTGCAGGCTGTCACTGCTGCTGCAGAAGTGACACACCTGCCTGCCACCGCCTGCAGCTCTTCGGGTTGCTGGAGGGCAAACGGGGAAAGCAGGAGCTTCTTCCTCTCCACCCTGAAATCCCCTTGTTTCGGGCTTTTTTTGCTCTGCCAGTACTTGGACATGACTAATGCAGCCATTGCTGTGCTGGCTTGGCAGCCCTTGCAAATGGGATTTCAGACTCGGGACAAGTGGAGCACAGCTCGCTGTGCACGTAGCAGTCTCCCCACAAACTCCTGGATGCTGATCCAGAGAAGAGAGTCAAGGAGGTGCAATCTCCACCAAGCCTTTGTGAGTCTTGCTGTGGTGCCAGCCAGCACAAGGAATGAGTATAGTGTTTAATAACAACCATGGCACAGGCGCCTATTTATTTACTCTTCTGTTTCAGGACAGCAAAGACCTGTCACCTCAGACTAACCTGCAGCTGACACAGTGAGAAATGGAAAACAGTCTCTTGTAATCTCCATCACATAAACAATTAGTTGTCTTTGCACAACCAATTTTTAAGCAGTTGCTGCTTTTTATGGGAAAAAAAAAACCCAAAACCAAAGAACAAATCAAATCAAAACAAAAATCAACCTAAAAAGTAGTATGGTTGAATCACATTGGTTTTTGGTAAATCGTGTTGGTATTTTTTGGAGGACGCCACTCCTCACAAAAAGACTTCTACTATACAGCTCTTGAGCACTGTATCACAAAATTATATGTATTTTAATATCTGCCCCTGTTTTTGCTCTTCTTTTGCATGTAGGTGGTAACTGTTTTTCAGCAAAACAAGATGTAGGTGAGAGGGAAAGCATCAGGATTTTGTTCCTAAAGAGCCAAGCACTCAAAGGTTTATTACGAGAGCTTGTAGCAGTTTATGCCACACGAGAAACACTGCTGGGAAATTTATCAAAGAATGTATCATGACGTGGGCTATTTAGGGACTGAAATTACATAGGAAGGACTGGCAAGAGAGATGTGTGCAGTCGCAATTAATGCTAAATATAAGGTGTCATATCTTTCTCTAATGCACAGCCTGCACTGCCTCGCAAAGGAAAGTTAAGCAATTAGGCCCAAATAACCAGATTATCCGTGGGAGGTGTTTGAAGACAGATTTAAAACACTGTAATAGGGTTGGGGGAGGGTTACAACAAGAGGTAATATTTCCTGATAGGTTAGTTTACATCCTTTGGAAAACATTCTGGAACCAGACCAGAGAGTAAGCAAGGCCTTAAGCAGGCCTTGGCCTGGGACAACACCCACAGAGAGGTGAAAAGTAAAGAGAGCCAACCCTGCTGTGCACACGCAGCCCCTCCAGCAGGTAATCCCAGGAACAAAACAAACCCAGCAACAGACAGCATAGCTCTCTGTGGGTTTGCAGCTGCCTCAGCACAATTTAGAATCAGCCTTCCCTTTTCCTGTTTCTCTTGAGCCAATGCTAAGGGCAGAGAGGAAAACCAGTGCCCAAACAATAATGACCCTCTTTTGGAATGGAAACTGGAATTCACTCCTTGGTCCCAGAAGGGCCAAGGCCAGGTGCAAGTCTTTTCCCCACTCTGCCTGACAAGTTTCTTCTTCTCCAGTCCTGAAGGGTTGGATTGACTCTGTGGCAGAGAGGGCAGCTTGTTTGCACAGCTCTTTCCACTCCTCTGAGGTGAGGCTGTCAGCAGGAGGATCAGAGGAAATCAAAAAGAACTGAATCATCTGGCCTTATAAAAACTCCAGTTCAGGAAAAGACTTGGTTGGAATGTACTGATGTGAGAATGGGGAGTGGGGGTGCCATGGGACATGTACTTGCTTTGGGAAGGGGTCTCTCTCACCTTCTGCAAAGCTCCTTGCCCCTGTTTATTCTATCAACACACAAACAACATTTTGTCTTCTAGAGTGAGAGGTGGGGACTAAACATTTCATCACAACAAAGTGAAAATAATCTCTGCTGCCTTTACTTGGATGTGGGAAATACTCGCTTGCTTTTAAATACAAAACTGTACATATATTTGTGAACCTACTGTTGCTTTCATGTGGGAGCCTTAGGTGAACACAAAAGACTGCATTGTGCAGCTACAAATGAACAGAGCATCCAGGATTAAAGAGATTTTATTTAGCCCCACATGAAATAGCAGAGCCGATGGCAGCCTCTGGTACAGGAAAAAAAAATACAACCAACAAGTAATTTAGTGAGGATTGGAACTAAGAAAGTCACATCTCCTGTGTATTTGTATATTGTGGCTGATTGACCGTGGTGCCTAAGATGGCAAAAAATTGATTTGAAGCTCTTCCTCCAGATCAAGCATTTATTAGCATTCTCAATTTTATGGAATATCTGAAATCTAATAAGGCATGAACCCACATTGTAACTTGCACTGTCGGGGACTGTGATAGAGTCTCTTTTTGCTATCAGGCCCGTTATTTTTCATAAATCTGTAGGGATGTAATTACACTTCTGCCAAACTTATTTGAAATCAGACAGTGGGCTCAGAAGTTTATTAGAGACATGGACAGACAGGCAGACAGGCACAGACACCATGACCATGTAAGTCTCATTTCCATCAGAAATAAGGCTAAAAGAACTTACATGGAAATTAATTTTTAAAGGAGACTTGATAGGCAGAGGAGTAGACCTTTGCAAAGTGTAATTTCAAATTTTAAGTGAATTTCATGCTAGGAAAAGCTATGGAAGACTGTCTGGAATACTAAAAGTATCTCTTTTACCTAAAGGAGAGGAACAGCACAGGATGAGCTGTGGTGGCCCACCTGATCCTCGTTTTTTTAAACTAACTCACACTGAGGGCAGGTGATTACTTAGAGAGAGAAAACAAAGAGCAGCTTCAGAAGCTCTGTCCCCTATAGTTTTTCTGCATGTGAGCACTTAGGGGCTAATCACAGATGTAAAGCGCTGTAAATGCCTCTGAATGTTTGTATTTCACCACTGCCTTTGACTTTGTTTGTATTTCACCACTGCCTTTGACTTTGTCCTTGTTTCCTTGCTCATACCTTGCCAGCTCTGTCCCTGGACTGCAGAGGGGAAGCTCTGCTCTTTACCCTTTGTGTGCAATCCACAGTGGGGCCGGAATCTTGATTAAGGCCCCTAAAAATGATCACATACCTCGCAAAAATCGTACTTTAACATTACAGCCCCGAGTCTCCGGTGGGATGGGTGTGGCTATTTATTCATAGACTGTTTTATTCCCAGCTCTGACAGCAGCCTGCTGGGCAGCCTCTGGCACATCACTCTGTCATCTTCCCCTCTGTAAGCTGGCTACCCCACACCCCTTGCTTTTCTGGAGTCGCTGAGCTGCCAGAGAATTCAGAGAGGGCTGGCTACGAGCTCTCTGCAGCCAATAGGCCACTGACTGTGGCCACCATGGTGCACTGCCCACCTCCCTGGCCCAGCTGTGTCCCCCTCTTCCTCATGAGATCCCTCAGGTGGCTGCCAAGTTTGAAAAAGGGGGGCAAAAAAGCTTAAATAGACTTTTGCATTTGCACCCCAAAATACACCTGGGGGCCAGGCCTGGTTCTCCTCCAAGGACTGCGGTCAGGACACTGATGCCAACCATGCCAGGATGTTGCTCTAAATCTGGATTCTTTCACCCAGTGGGGAAGCTGATCCACACACCAGGCTGAGATACTCTATTTTATTTCATGTCTACACAGAGATGGGTGAGAAGTGGTAAATCCACAAAGCGAGGAAGCGTATTTATACATACATACACAATGCATACATATGCAAGCATATTTATACAATCCTATTCAGGCAATATTTGCATAATGAATCTACATCACTACCTGGCTCAGCTACTACTGTCTTCTCTTTCCCCACCTCGGTTTAAAGGCACAGGGTATTTCAAATTCATGTGTTCAGTGGGTAAGGGTCTTCCCTCGGAGGTGCGGTTTTCCCATTTCAATGCACCAAGTTCTCTCTTAGCACACAATTTCACAAGTCAGTTAAATATTTCTATCCCGCATGCCTCGAAGCTGGTTTAGGCCACCACATAGCCTGGCTCTTTATCTTACATCGCATCCCGCACCTCTTAGGTCAGGTTGTTCCCCTTTTCACAGAAACTGTCCTTCCCGCAACTCGCGCCCCGTGCCCGGGGCCCACGCAGGAGCCGGGCAGAGGGGCCGGGCGGCGGGGACAGCCGTGTTCCCGGGGCCCGGGGGAGCGGCCGCCCCACCCGTCGGGGCGGGCTCGGGCAGGCCAGGTGAGGCGGTCCCGGCCCTGCCTCTCCAGCTCCCGCCGCAGCCTCCTGCCCTCGCTCCCGGCCGGCGCTGCGCTGGGGCTGCCGGCGGCATGGCGGAGTCCCAGGTGCTGCTGCTGGACGAGCTGCACGTCAACGAGAAGGTGACGGAGGCCCAGGCCCGCTTCTACTACAGCGAGGAGCAGCGCCGAGCCCTGGAGGCGCTGGTGACCCGCGGCGAGGCCGCGTACCGGGAGGCGCTGAGGAAGGAGCAGCTCCGCGATTTCCTCTCCGGCCGGGAGCTGCAGGACCTGAGGGGCGGCTGGCGGGGCTACGACGACCCCCGGGAGGGCGGCAAGGTGGCGCGGGGGCCCGGCGGCGAGACCCTCTCGCTGGCCTACTGGCCCGAGTGCTCGGACACCGAGGTGCCCCCGCTGGACTTGGGCTGGACCGACAAGACGTTCTACCGGGGTATCAGCAGGGTGTCCCTCTTCACGCACCCGCGCAAGGAGGAGAGCGCGCCGCACCTGAAGGAGGTGGTGCGGGACATGATCCAGCAGGCGCAGAAGGTACGGAGCAGCCTCGACGGGCCGGGCCGGCCCTGCCCTGCCGCCCTCAGCCGGGCCGAGGGTCTGGCTCGGGACATGGGGTGCAAGGCGGGCGAGCGCCCTCGCTCTGGCCTTGTAATGGTCGGCGTCCATCAGGCAGGGCTTTCCCTGCGCCTCCTTGCCAGTCGCGTCACGCTTTGCTGAGCTGATGCCTGTGATGGGGTGAAACCTCTTCACAGCCTCTCCACCTCCCCTCAGTTGGGGTTCTGTACCTGTGGTTCGCCTTGTCCTGTCCCGGCCTCATTCCCGGGTTCACAGGTCGTGATGCTGTTACAGCCACCCCTACCTGGTGTGTGCAGGTGTCCCTAGTTACAGACAGGGCAGCGTGTTCGTTATGGGATGGTGCTTTTTGGGTTTATTTTTTGTGGTCTCAACACCCGTCCAGCCCGAGCTGCAAGTAGACAAAGTGTAGACAATATGAGGCTGCTCCTCCCGTTTATCTTTCCCTGGAAATGACTGCTGGTGGTGACAGGGCACCTCTGGCAAGGAAGCAAACCAGTCATGATGCTCCAAGAGCTTGCTTTGAGCAGGTGGGGGCAATCACGAGGTTTTTCGTCACCCACCCCGGATGTGGGTGAAGTTCCCGGAGAAGACCACCCAGGAAAAGATATCCGTCAGAGCTGACACACCCCTTGGGTAAAGGGGAGAACAGCGTAAGAAACTTCATTCCTGTGCTTAGTTTTGCAGCTTTCTGGTTTTTCTGCTTTATAATTCAGCAGTCATTTCCTCCTCCACCTGTTCCCTTTTGCCAGCACACACTATATGCACCACTTTTACAGGCTTGTTCAAACCGAATCTGCCGGGAAACACAGAAAACTTTCCAGAGAGGCATTAATCTGGTGGGTGATCTTCTTAGCTGCCTGCTCTCAGAAATTGTGCACACCCTGTAATTCTGTTCAGTGACTGGTGTGATCAGTCACTTAGAAGCTGTAGTCCTTATGCTCTGATGTAGTGCAACTTCACCTCCTCCTTGCGCTGCTACAAAGGTTTCTAGAGACTGTTCAAGAACTGGGAAAGTTTGTTTCTTTCCCAGAAAGAAAGGCCATAGCTGTGCCTGGCACTTAGAAATAATTAAATCCTTTGTAGATTTTTATTGTTTCACTGACTGGACAAACTGTGCCCCTCCCAGCCCGAAGCTGGTTTCATGTTTAACAGCCATTTGAGTGTTTAATGGTCCTTTTCATAGATAACTATGCCTATTGTGTTCAGCTGAGCTCACCCTGGCAAAAAACACTCCAGGTAGCAGCTTTTTTAGTCAGCAAATGAGAGTGGGGGATTGTTGGGTTTGTTTTTTTCTGAAAGGGGGTCTGAACAGATACTGGTAATATGTGGCACAAGTCTGTGGGTGGCTTATCATGAGTGTTTTACAAACATATGTTAATTAAGCTACCTAGCTGCAATGAGATTAGCAAGCATTAACTTGCCAATCTTAAAATTCCTGTGAAGAGCTAGGCACACCTATGGGTCCTACAGATAAGTTTATTATCCTTAGGATTGGAAGAGAAATGGGGAAAACCTCTTGCAGGGGTAGACGCTCATGCTCTGACTTGCTGTGCTTGGGAACACTCCTAGCTGTGACAAGGGCTTGAGACGGCAAACACAACAACAGGCGTTGCCCATGGGAAGTTTTGACTGCTGTTCTCAGTGGTCCCCAGTCTTGGAAAGGAGCCTGGGCTGACCCAAGGCCCCACAGCCTGGAGGGAGCCATCCCTTCACACTGCACAGCAGGTACAGACAATTAATGGTTTGTCCAGGATAGGGTGTAATTTCTGCAGTTGTTACACTCATTGCAAATGGTGGGGGTGGAGAGAAAAGTTCCTGCTTCTGCTGTCCATTCTCTATGTGGATGTTCTTATTTCAAATGAATATTATTTGGCATCCTTTCTCCTAAATAGCTCATCCATACCACTGTATGTGGGGGGAGAGGGAACGTAACAGGCCTTGGTTAATGCATGAACTGTTCATGACTTTATTTATGGTTTGCCTGTATATGGGGTTGTTCAGAAACAAAGTGGTAAAAGGTCGCTGTATTTTAATTTTTAGAGATTCTGGTAACATTCCTGCTGGGAAGGGAGAACCAAGGCAGGACCTGAAATCCTGCCTAGTAGAAGTTACTGTGGGACTTAGTATGAGGTAGCTCCAGCACAGTTCACCTCCATCAGGAACTTACATGTTAATGATGAGCATAAATACAACGTCAGCTCTTTTTCTTTCTCTAACGAAGGGAAGCTGGTGTAAGCACTGTTGACAGAAGGAGCCTGACAGAGCAGATGTGTTGGTTGTTGTTGGCTGTACAAGCAGGGACTCAGCAGATGCAGTGGGAGATGTTTACTGTGGCATCACTTTCCCAAAAGCCATTTGTTCAAGGGCATTTTTCACAGGAAAGAGGTCTCTGGGGAGAATTATTCCCGCTTCCTTAGGGGGCTCCTGCAAGAGAGCTGCACCTTTTCCAAGCATCAAGTGAAGAAAGTCCTACAGTGTGGTTCAGTATTTAGCTCCATTCACACCTGTATATACCATCCCCAGCCCAGATGGGCTTATTGCTGTGATTCCCAGCACCTGGGAAATTAAAATTTAGACAGCTCTAGTCCCAGGATACTGTCAGCATGGCAGCTCTGACCTGGCAAGCTGATGTTATGCAGAGAGACTAGAAAAACAGTAGTTTCCTCCATTGATAACCTTTAAAATCTTGAGAAGAATAACTCAGGCAGAAAAATTAATTGATATTTCTAATGGTGTAAAAGATACATGTTTTGTCTTTCCCTTTCTATAAGATCAGCATTAAAGTTACCCATAACCTTCTTGGTTTTGTTGTTACTCATCCTATAAATGTTCAGGCTTGTCTCTCACGTCAGTGAAACATTTTGTTTTATGTAAAATCTATGCCTGGAAAGAAGGATTAGTTTTATACCAGAAAAACAATACATGCAAAGAGAGGGAATGATCATTTTGCCTTCAAATCTTGAATACACTCCAGTCCCTTTCTGAGAAATATGAGGTGTTTATGTTTGAGCCCAATAAATCATTCCTTGAGAAGCCAGCCCCGAGAGCAGACTTTTCACAGAGATTTGGGGGAAATAAAGGAAAATAGAATGTTTGTTTTCTACACTATGCATCATGGTTGAGGATGCAAGCCCTGATTCCTCTGCACATTCACTCTTCCATTAGACACCTTCAGGTTAAGTGTTAAAATTGTGTTTTCAGTGGTTTTTTTCAATATATTTTCAGTGTTCTTCATTTAAGTGAGTCCTTACAGAGACTATGGAAGTTTCTTAAAACAGAGGAAAAATTAGGTATTTGGCTTTGGCATTCCTCACGCTGCTAAAATAAGTCAGTTTCATCTGGAAGAAGGAGAACTCTCATAAACATTTACTAAGTGCAGCAGCTAACTCAGAAAATTACAATTATTGCTAGTGCTTGGGCATGTACCTCCCTGTACTTTGTTCTCCCTATGGAGGCTTCTCCTCCATTATCTGGTATCAGTGCTCTCCTTTATTTTGCACCAGTGGGGCAGGCCTTCCTTTCAGTTCCTAATATTCATTCAGTTTTCTGTCTACCATCTTGTTGTTTGCAGATTATTGCAGTGGTCATGGATGTGTTTACGGACCGGGACATCTTCCGCGATATCGTCGATGCAGCGTACAAGCGCTGGATCCCCGTCTATATCATCCTGGATGAGGAGGGAGTCAGGCTCTTCCTGGAAATGTGCAGATGCCTTGACCTCAGTGACTTGCAGATCCGGGTAAGGTATTCAGTGCTAAACCATTATCTCCTGCAGGTCATTGGCCTTTTGCAGTTGCAGTGGTTCTTGGAACTTGCTTGGACCAGCAAACACATCTCTTCCTCCGTACCACAACACTAAAAGTGATGGAACACAGAGGGATAACAGTGTGGCTTTATAATACAGAAGGAAAGAAAAAGGAAAGATTTGGATTTTTTTGCCTTTCACCCAACACAGGGATCTGTGTAGTTTCCTGGCACTTATGACCTCAAAATACGTGTTGGGGGAGAAAATTATCAGAGAAAGTTGCTGTAGGTCTTCTATGTGAGGATTCAAACTAGAATTCAAACTAGAGTTCCAGGTAGCTCTTAGAGTTGTCTGCATGGATCCCTCTTACAGGACACATACATTCTGTGAAAATCAAGACTTTCCTTCCCAACAGTGATCATCTGTGAGTGAATGAGCTTGTAGTCCTTCTCTTAAAGGAGAATTTGAGGGATTGAGGGCCACAGTGTGCCTTCATATAGTGCATGCAGCATAGCAGAGTAGTCAATCTAGCTTGGCTGGCAGAAGCAGCCTCAGAGGGATCTCGCTCCATTACATACAGACTGAAATAATTTGTGTATTTCTTGTTAGTATTGTATTCTTTCCTTTCCTCCCCATCTTTTTAGCCACTGTTGCTACTACAGACTTGTTCTAAATCCTGAAAAAAGTTGCTGGGTTGGAAACAACCTATGGGATGCCAGACTCACCCGTTTGTGATTCTCTTGTTCTGTACAGCGGCAGTGGAAAAAGTGCTTTTTGTCTGGAGCATGGTGGATTTTCCTTAAACACTCAATTTATAGTTAAAAAAACCTCAAACCACAACCAAAACTCAAAAAGCTCTGAAGATTATAGAGTCTCATCTTAATCATTTTAGGGGAGCTATCTTAAATCTGGATGAAAATTACCTGCATATATCTGAAGAGTTCTCCTGTGAACTACCACTCTGCTCTGAGTTTCATCAAAAAAGACATCCAGCTGAGAAGTTTTCCCTTTTTTTCCAAAACGGTGGTGGAAGTTCCTTCCCTCTGGTGTCTTTGAAAGCAAGACACAGACCTCATTATAACAGACATGTTTCAAGTGCCAGTGGTATTGTGTCTCCTAGGCTTGTGTCTCTTTGGTACATAGCTGTGAAATCACAGCAGTAGTTCCATCTGCTGTGGTACCAGTTTCCCAATACCTTTCTTACTGTGTCATCATGTACAGCAATGATGTCTTCAGTACTACAGTATTTTAACTCCTGGACAGAGGGAATGAAAAGATATACTGTGTTTTAGAAAGAGCTGTGTTGCTATTGGAGAGCTGAGTTCCTTTCAGTCTGTTTTTTCTGTCTCTAAAGCAGTCCCCTTCTGCTCATCCTCTTATCCTTCTACACAGGCTTGACACTCCTAAACCAGTGATCCCAGTGATGTGCTACAGCAATGCCTAGGTCCTGCAGCAGTCTAGTTGTATGGCTCTCTCTAAGGAGGTGCAGTTTGAACTGGTGCAATCAAAAGAAGGAGAAAATGTTTCTGTGTCCCTTCTATGATTCCATTCTTTCATGGCAGCCCGTGCTATGTTTTTCTTTAGACATCTTCAGCTAAAAATGTACAAGCTGAGTTGAAGCAAGTCCACTGCGAAGAAATTTTTAACAACTTTTGACCAAGTTGTTCACTATTCTGCAAAGCTTCAGCCCACAGATTGCTATCCTTCAAATTTTCCCCCTCTTTTCTCAGGTATGTCATACTGGATCTAAATTCCCCTGAAGGTGGTTATCTTTTTTTTCCAGTATGGCTTAGGTATTTTTTTTAGTCTTGCTAAGGCCAACGCAGTTAATTCCTGTATATGGTTCTGTGGAATGACCAGAGACATTCTTCATGGGATGGGGAAACAAGTCATTTGCCTCTCAAGGAAGGTGTTCTCTTAGTATCTCACCCAGAGCTGCCTTGGACATGCCTATGCTGCTGCTTGGGTCAGTGTAGCAGAAACCATCATGTAGGGATTTCCCTGGCAACAGGCTTTGGATACCCAAGGAAGCTCCAGAAGGTTAAGGTTTCCCCTTGAGGACTCCTCCCAGCCCTTCTTCTGTAATGTGCCAAGGGTTGAAGATCCAGATTTAAAGCAAGAAAGCAAGCTGGGCCTCCAGTCTTGTTCGGCAGAATAATTTTGTCTCACGTTGTTTGATTGCAGAAGATACTGAAATTGCTGAGGAAACTTTCTTTCACCCATTTCTTATCTACTGTCTTTTTCCTGATATCTTCTTTGATGTCTGAGTGTCTTCTACAGATTTTTAGCAACAGGGAAAATGTTTTCTCCTTTTTGAATTAGCATTTTGCTTTATTCAAGAAGATTTTTACCAGTTTTCACCAGACATAGTTTGCCAGCAAAGGAGTTGCATACTATTCTTTCCTGCCCTTGTGCCCACCTTTCCCTTGGAATGCTTGTGTGAGGTACAGAGGATGGCTTCTTTTCTCAGGAAGTTGCAGCCACCTGAGATATAACTCTAAGGTTTAGAGACAAGTTCTGATCCCAGGGGGAGAGAGATGATGCACTACTGTGAACTGCAGGGTCACAATGTTTATTCTGTCTTCTGTCACCACCAGATCCTCATTTCGTTCTGTGTTTTCTGCCCTTTTGGTCGTGTTGCCCTTCTCATCCAATGCAAAGTGAATACTTCAACAGTCCTAATACAGGGAGGTTTACAGTTAACACTGGGTTTTGCCCTTTGTCTCTGTACAGCGATGGACATTTTCACAAAATTCCTGGCTATTGTATTCTTTCTGTGGAGATGGCAAGGTATCATGATCTGCTGACAGTCTCATGGGAGGGAAACTGCTGTAGGAAGACCATACCTCACCCTACAAAGAGTAAAAGTTCTTAACCAACTCTAAGCATTAAATGAGAAAACCTCTGTTTTTGTCTGAAGGCCAGAGTTCACGAGAAATGTATTTAAATTCAATCATCAGAACATTCATGGGTTGTTCATAAGAGCATGTCTTGTGTGTGTGAGTCATATGGCTTCCTGAGCCTACAGGACATGGTTTGTCAGACTTCTGTTATGTTTGACACAAGAGTGTTCTACAGAGATCACAGTGATTCAGAGTTCTCATAGATACTAAATTCATAGCCCCTCAGAAATTCCTCTTTTTGCAGGACCTGAGGGTGAATGTTCTCACCAGATTTTAGATAGGTGGTTTTTGTCTTCATGTTTCTGTTAACCCCGACCACAGTATCAGACACTCCTGCCCAAAGACAGAGAACTCTCCTAGAGTTCCAAGCAAGCCCAGGGAATGATTTATCTGCAGGAAGTTCACCTTCACATTAATTTTTACATTCATTTTCCTAACATGTAAGAAGTTTTTCCTTTCACTTCAGAAAGTCTAAAAAGCTTCTGCCTAAGAAACTTTTGTAATTTCATTTTGATATTTTATGGGTTTTGTCATTGACTCCTATCTGAGATGAGGGAGGGGTGGAATGTGATGTGAAGCAGTGCTGTTGGTTTTTTAATGGTCTGCTGGAGTATTCTTCTAGACTACTTGTGACCTTCTGAGATGGGAGCTTGCAAGGCTCTCTTTTTGTAAAGACACAGATAATACTCAGTAATTATCTTGGCAGACCATGTCCCAGCTAGCTGCATTCCATCCTGTTCTACCTGAATACTTGCAAGTTACACTATTTTCTCAGTAACCATGCCCTTTCCAAAACTGTCCAGGGCAAACAGAGGATTTCCCTGTTCTAGGAGGGAAGGTGCACATAGGATTCCCTGGTGGAAGCAGTTGCAACACCTCCCTTTAGGGTCTGTCTTGTGTGTTCCCCCTTCTCAGCCCTGGTTTGTAAGCACTACGGCCTAGGTTTGCCAAGTCAGTCACAGCATTACTGACTTTCTAAACTGGGTCTGATTTAGCTTTCTGTGGATTCAAAGTGAGGTTTAAAAGTGTGACAATAAAGCAAGGAAGACCAGTTCCTTACTATTTGTATTAGGATGGTCTGTCAGGCTTGACTGTTACCAGTCATATTGAGTTGTACCCAGGGAGATGTTAGTCACTGCTTGTGGTGAGTGATGGTGCAAGTCTGTGGAAAGGAAATATAGAAATTTAATGCAGACTGCATCTCCCATAAGCCAGGATATTACAGAACAAACCTTAAGCAGGCTTCTGCAACAATACAGATCTGGAGGTGATACTTCTATCTGGTGAGCTAACTGGTCCTCTACTCAAAATAATTGTTACTACTGTAACTCTAGTGCCATCTGAAAATGCCTGCAATCTCACTTCATTTATATTTGTCTCTCCTCTTTTGTTATTGTGCAGTCTTTGGTACATGAACCCAGTCTCGCTCTTCCTCTGTAGCTTGACTTAGCAGTCTACAAATGTTCCAAGATCCTTCAAGGCAGAAAATTGCCTTTGCTGGCAAACTATGTCTGGTGAAAACGGGTAAAAATCTTTTGAATAAAGAAGTGACTTGTTAAGTGACTTGATGTTTATATGACTTTCTGCTTGTTTTCTGCATTTCAAGATGTATTAATGCACTCCTGTACCTATTTTATTCAAGGAGGTTTATGTACTCAGCTGTTCAGCTCTATCCCCTCTGCGCCTTTCTAAGTGTTACATACAGCTCACTTACTGCAGAAATTCAAATGTGCTTTCTTTCCACCAAAAGAAGGTGATAGAACATACAAGCACAATAAGATCCACACTGTTATATGCTGGGAAGCTTTTTGCTCACACAGGCTGATGCTTCTCGATTCAAAGGAGTAATATCAGGTCAGAGCTGTTGACTGACTTCTTGTCTTGTGCTGTCAGCAAAGCATGATTTGGCAAATCCCACATCCAACATTAATCAGCAAGGAAAAAAAAATTCAGCCAAATTCAAATGTTATTTTAATTACTGGAAAGGGCACCATTTCTCCTGTGCTCTACCCAACCTGTCTTCAGCATCCCATACATATGACTCATTTGCTAGGCCTTGGGCAAGCCACTTCATCTTTTTCTGTCTTAGGCTACTCATCTTTAAAATGGGGTAATAATACTTTCAGCAGTGTTGGGAGCATTAATTAGCTAATGCCCACACAGGACTCCAGACAGATCAAGCAACAGCTGAATGCAAAACAGAGCTATCATCAGTTACTGTTAGTCAGAATTTGTATTTTGACTGCTGTATTCTAGTTGGGAAAATAGCAGCAGTTTCAAAAGGCAGGAGTTGTATTCAGAAAAAACAGCTTTTGAAAGAAATCTGCATTCTTATAATCACTCATTCCTGCATGCTGATTTCTATAGCCTATCAGTATTTAAGCTGTCGGTGAGGTTTATAGTAATAGGACTTAGCTCTTTGTGGGATCTGAGGCTGTGCTAGCATTAGCCAAATCCTCCTGATTTTTCTGCTCTGCAGATGGAGAAGAATGAAACAAAGGTGAATTGACTTCCCCAGAACATCACAGGGAGCAGTATCAGAACTGCAATTATGCCTGGGACTATCTGACTCCCAACCCTGGATTTATGACTCCAGTTCACAGTGCTTTTAGCTTTTCATTCTTAAGGAATCCTTACATAAAAATATGGTGGAATGAGGAAAATTGTCTAGATTTGTGTGTCAGAGTGACAAGATCATTTGCTCCAAACCTTTACTGACATTCAATGTTTTTGGACTTGGGGGGGAATGTTTCATGTTAGACACTTTGGGAGTTCAGCCTTGTGCAGCCAGGACCCATGAGCAGCGTAACACTCAGTCCAGTGTGCAAACATATCCTTATAGTATGCACAGGCACTCATCTATTGTTGAAAATCATGTAACCCTAACTTTGTGGTTTTTCTGTGTCTGGTAGTGCTTTGTTTCATTACTTGTAGGTTTGCTGACAAAAGGGTGTGAGATGTGAGGTTTGGGGAGAAGTATTCTCTTTCTAACTACTTCCATTCGTTTTATGAAAAGATTCTCCTTCCTCATCTTCAGAAATTTTTCTTTGCTGATCTATTCAGGACATTAGTAGAGACACTTATCTGAAAGCATTGTCTTGCCAGTGGCTCAAGTGAATAGTTGAAGACAGCAGGCAGGGTTTTGATGATGCTGACCCCTTGGATAGCGATAAACTGTCCAAGATGGAGAGGAGTGACCTGTGTAGACAGGAGATGACAACAGGGCTTACAGCACTATGCTTTCCTTTGCAGCCCTTCTGGTGGCTGATACAAAATGAGCTGTAGTCCCAGAAGTAGTGAGACAATGTGAGTGACATCTTAACACTTGGAGCTGGCAATTATGTAATTTTCTGCCCTGTTTATTGTGACATTTTGTCTTTTCACCTCCCTGTTAGAATGTCCGCATACGCTCTGTGACAGGAGTTGGGTTCTACATGCCATCAGGGAAGATCAAAGGCACACTGGCATCCCGATTCCTGATGGTGGATGGAGAAAAGGTGGCCACTGGATCATACAGGTGGGTTACTCTTGTTTAAGGCATTAATTTAAAGATTACTTTGCTTGAGAGTCTTCTTCACTTGTCACCCCCCTTCTATCCCAGCTTCTGTAATCTGTGTGGCATCTGTAGAAACTGGAGTGGGACAACAGAGAAGGTGGCATAGAGCCCTTCTTCAGAGAATGGAACATGCCCATGCTGGCAGACCTTTGCAGAGGGCTAGAGACAGTTCCACACTGCGTCAGGAAGGGGTCTACAAGGACTCCCCGCCAGTCCCTGTACTCAGTTCTCTTCAGTGAGGTTTTTAGTCCAGAGACTCTTCCTGTTGATTCAGTGCTGCTTGTTTAAAAGGGTCCTTTTAAAGACCCTTTTTGCAGAGTTTCAGGGCCTTTTCTCCCAAATCTGGTCTACATGTCTAAAGAAGAACAATGATGTTGTGTCGTGTACCTATTGGGGCCCATCTGGCCAAGGATATAAGGGAAAATGGCATAATGCTACATATTCCCCTGTAGTGTCTTAGGTTTTGTTAGGTGGGCTGGGTCAGGCATGCACCCCAAAATCTAATGTCAGTTCTGTTTCCTTCTCTCAGCTTCACATGGACTTCATCTCACATTGACAGAAACATCCTGCTAGTCTTGACAGGACAGCACGTGGAGATGTTTGACATTGAGTTTCGTGAGCTCTACGCCATCTCAGAGGAAGTTAATTTATACAAGGAACTGGGCATTGCTAACCCATTCCTCCATGGAATTGGGAAGCCAGGCTTTCATTCCTCCACCGTGGCTCGGAAGTTCATTAACCCAAAGTATGGTTTAGTAGCAGGGGCAACCCGTGGTGATATGATGCTCTGGGCTTCACGGCACAGGCAAGACCATCAGGGAAACATGGAAAAGGAGGAAACAAGTGAGTCAAAGAAACGGTTAAATCAGTTCCTGAATGACTTAGTCACATTGGAGCAAGTGTTCCCAGAAATAGATCCACCTCTGGAGAACTTGAACAAGCTGAATCGGAGCCCCCAGAAACTGTTGTCCCGGCTCCACATGGACCTGAAAAATAAATCCAAATCCAGAGAGTCCATCCGTGACATAAAGAAGGAAGATGCACAGAGCAATGCAAAGCAAGGGAAGCGGTTTGCCAGTGGGCTTTTCAGTCGCAAGGCCAAGCGCTCTCCAGGCTCAAGCATCGAGGCCAATTCTTTTGCCAGTGAAGGACATTCAGGAGAAGACCTTGGGAACATGAAACTGGAATATGAGAGGCTCAGCATTGGCCATGCTAGTGTTCGGAGCACTGGAGGCAACTCAGGTAAAACCCTTTACAGCATACTCTGCTTTCTGTGTCCCTTGCTTTGAACTTGGCTGATTGATGCAAGCATACCCACTATGGGCACCTGTGAGTAGATCCTCTCATTCTGAATCAAAATGAGCAAAAACAAAGGGCAGAAGTCATATAAAATGATATAGGCAATATAACTTGGAAGCAATTTAATGGCAGTCTTACTGTAGGGTTGGTACTTCTCATGTGGATGTTTCTCATACTTTTGAGCAGCAGAGGGAGAGAAAGGTGAACATTGCCTTGTGTAAAACAGTGCTCAGTCCATGAAGTGCATTTGCCTAATAAACAGCAGCACTGTGTTCTCTATGGTAGTGGCTAGCAGGCCACAGACAGATTTTCAGTGTAATTCCTTCCTTTCCTCATTAGAGTTTAGGCAGGTATATTTCCTGTGACAAATTCCTGGTGGAGAAAAGAGGAGGTGAGGGCACAAGGATTGAAGGAAAGGGTGCAAGTCTTTTTAATTTGCTCCTTTGCCACCTTCTGAAATGCAGGAGAAGATCATGAAAACAGAAGCTACAAAGAAGTAGGTCACTAGATCTTAACTTTTCTGTCTTTGCTAATGCATGATTGGTATTTTCATTAAGTCCTTCAAAGGCTTCAGTCAGTTGAAGACACAAATGATAAAGATTTCTAATGGGTTATGGGTTCGTAGCTAACTCCCCAACATTTTACATGTTTTGTGAGATTGAAGTAAATCTTTGGACTATTCATCCTGGTTGTCTTCCTCTCATTGAGCTGTTTTGGGTGTCAATACCTCCTGCACCATCAGGAAAATAAACTAATTGCAAGGAGAAAATTTCTCCTCCACTTATCTGACCAGTGCTCTGATGAATGCAAAATGCAGATGCAGAGAGACTGAACTGCTTTGCAGTTACCATGATGTGAAATGAAAGATGTTCTTTTGGGACCAAGAAGAAAAGCAAGGAATTGAGATCGTCAACATCAATGATTAATTAGGTTCCTGGAAATATTTCTGGCTAAATGAAGGACAGACTCAAAAATGCCAAAGGAACACAAGAAAGAGGAATTATAAGAAGGAATAGTTAATTTATTTAAGACTGTAGTAGATCCATTTTAGAATCTGCATTTGGCATTTGGGGAGGTAGAAGTAAATCCTGGTCTAAAGAGATCCTCTCTCCAAGTAAGTCTTGAGCATAGACATTATGTGCTGGTGGGCCCCATTCTCAAAGCCAGGAAAAGCAAAATCGGTGAAGACCTGTGGGAGATGTATGGGCATTTCCACTCGCAGGAATGGAGCTGAGTGCTTGCACTACCCTCTAGTGACAGAAGGAGAGAATCTCTGATTCATCAGCACTTAGCATATCAGATTCTCACTGTCACCCGTTTCAGAGCAGCCAGCCTGGCCTTCCCTCAATGTCCTGATGAAAACAGGCCCAGCTTAAGGCACAAGAGGTTGATGTCTTTGGTGGACAGTGGGGCACTGCACCCTGCTGGGGCATTGCACCATCCAGGCTGCAGGGATGTCCCTGTTCCTCCTAAAACAGTGGATCTGTGCCAGACAGTCTGATGCTTGGTCTAGACCATTTCCACAAATACATTTCCATGCTATTATGTTCAGGTTTTATTTATTGCCACTGTTACTTCCTGCAGACTGCCAGGTCTTTCAATAAGGGGGAAGGAAGAATTGAGAACAGGTCTAAGGAAGATGCTGAGGTCCAGCACACCAGTCTTCCCCCTGTACTTTTTCTGAACTGATAAATCTTTCCAGTGAGTCCTTGCTAGTATTTTTGGTTTATGCAAATTGAGAATGCCTGTTCATGGTGACACTGGGAGACTCCATAGCTTTTGAAGTAGGGTGTAAGTAGACTTTGTCCATCTGGTGGCATCAAAGGCTGAAGGAAGATCATGGATTGTGAGTTGCTTTTGAAATAAATTACCTTCTTGTGAGAGAACACTTCTCTAGTCTAATAGTCTGAAAGTGGCAGGTGAACAGAGATGGTAGAGGGCACATTAGATAGATGGAGATTCATGAGGAACAGAAAAGGATTTAATAAAAAATTCCTTAACACAGCCATGGAATAGAGTCACAGCCTCAGTATAAAGATAGGAGACACTTTGTTCTTGGGTAACTTTAGGGCTGACTTGAGTTTAAAAGTTTAAGCAAAACTTAGTCTTTGAGAAAAATTAGTAAAAACTGGTGCTGTGATATTCTGGGTGACAGAAGGGAGGTAAGAAGTAGAAATGAAAGAGAGGGTACTTGGTATGCAGGCAGGTTAGGATGCAATTATTCAGAGCTTCACGGTTTGAAATAGCTGCCCTTAGCTTTTGTAAAGATTAAACAGCACACTTAAGCCCCATGGGCCTGCCTGAGCACACATCCTCCAAAGTCACTATTAATTCTTTAGCACCACAGAGACACATCCCACCTTGCAAATGCATGGAGAGACCAGATCCACACCTGAGTAGCTCATAGAGTAGTTGAAAGACATTATTCAAGCAGGCTAAAAGTCAGATTCAGTCTTGTAGAAGCAAATGGTGATGAAGAGAATCTGAGCTGGGAAGGGAAATGATGGAAGTGTGTGCTGTGATGGAGTCTGAAAATCTGATGCAGCTTTTACAGGCTAGAAGAGGATTCCTATGAGTCAGAATTGGGAGTCTGGAAAATACAAGGGCTCCAGATAGAAAGTAATGTCCCAAACTAAGTATCTGAATTAACACCCTGAGGTGTTGTCCTAGCACATGGCAAGTTGTACATTGTCTTAAAAGGTTTTCTCAAACCACATAATGAACTTATCAGAATTTCACTGGATTTCACTGTTGCCTGCTGAGGAACATAAGAGCAGCTCTGAACCTGACCAGAATCTTGTTAGTTTTAAGCTGGTGCTGGGCAGACTGTGTTCAGCAGAGACAGTGACTTCTGTGTGCAGTTTCTGGGAAACACTGGAAAAATCTGAAAGCTGTGTGCCTTCAGAAGGTGCAGACTTTTTGGTTCTCCTTTGGAAGAAGCAAAGTGGGCTTGTTCAGAAGGGTTTGCTGTCCTGAGGTGCTCCATGCATCAACTTCATTCCTCATGAGCAGTGGTTGCAAAATACACACCCTTAGTAGAAGGATTTTGTGTTTCAGTTTTGTATGCTTCTTGCAACAGGAAATGGAATTTATGCTGGGCACTGCAAAGGCATTGAAATAGCTGCTTGGTTATCACCAGTGTTTTTCAGCCAAAGTGAGATCATGGAAGGGTGGTAACTGGAATTTTCAGCCTCTTTTCTAAAGAGAGAAAGAGGGAAACAGTGTTGGGTACATAAAAGGAGGATGTTTGCTCTAACTGTAGTGGAATATGTAGAAAAAGGTCAGAAGACAAGAGTAGAAAGTGACAAGAATAAAAGGGCTGGGAGTTGAAATTAAGCAGAGAAGCACAGACATTTCAAAAAAAGCATGAGGGTCTTGAATGTGATACAGACGGGGAAGGAAAGAGGGGTGGGGAGGAGATAGGAGTAATGATAACACTAACGTGCAGGATATGTCAGAGGGGAACAGGTAGAATGAAATGCTACAGGGAGCTGTGGGGAGGAGGCACAGAGCAGCCACAGAAGTGACGGCAGGGTGCAGTGCAACCTCCCAGGTGAACATCAAGGAGATGCAGTGTGGAAGAAAGTGAAGAGAAGGAGAGGGAGAAAAGAGAGCTCTTCTCTTCCCCAGCATCTACAGGTAAGGGCAGCATTGATCAGATACCCTTCAGGCAAGAGAGCGACATTAAAAATTATGCACTTGAAGCCCAATTCAGAGGCAGTGCTTGAGTTGAATGCTCCCTAAACTTAGCAAGACTGAGACTTCTCAGTAGCATGTCACCATGACCTGTGGCAGTTTTCACTCGCTGTTTTCCCTCTGAACTGGCATCTGGCTCCAAGTGCTTGGGAGATGCACATGTACCTTCCTTCTGTACAAATACATGAGTGGGGCCTGCCTGTGTTCAGAGTGATTCCAAGCCACATGGCAGCCCCTGTCGGTCCCTGCTGCCCTGGGCCAGAGTCACGCAATCTTTACTGAGCTCAGATGAGCTCCCTTGCTTGCAAAGCCTCTGAACACACTTCTGTACAGTGCTTGAGACATATACTGGGGCATCCAGATCAACATCTGGCTGTAATGATGGACACCAGACAGAAGTGCAAGCATTGAAAGGTACAGATGCTGGGAGCAGAAGAAATTCATAGAGTAAGCAGTGAAAAAAGGTAGGATTATAAAAAACTGGAGGCAGCATACTCTGCCATTTTCATGGGAGACCTTGAGTCTTGGGATTTGTCTTGCAAAGGCAGTGGTGGAAACACTGGCACTAGAGATGTTTGAAACAAAATGTGAAAAAAAACCTCTACTGAGAGTGTGTGTGGGTATCAAGTGAATGAGATGACCTTGGGTTTTCAGGGTTTTTTTCCATACCTCACTCTTTGGAAAACTTCTCACCCAAGGCATGACCAGACTATTTATCAGTGCCAGCTGGGACGTAATGAAGCTGGACTGGGTACAAGGCAAAGCCTAGAAATACTTCTCCAGTGGGTTTCTCTACAATATACTCTGCATTTGATCTTATTTTAATGTTTCTTCATTTCACTACAGCAGAAAAAAAAAGTCATGAGAGCATGCAGAATAATGTAGGTCTAACACAAGGTGCATAGTAAAAAATGAGAGTGAAGCATGAGTCCAAACTTTATCCAGGGCTTATTTACTTAACATTAACACTACTTTAACTTCTTTTCCTTCCAGGTAACCTGAATCCAAACTCCACTATGAGCGATAAAAACAAACAATCTACCTGCGTGTTATCTTGATTGGGAAGGATTGTCTGGAGAACTAAAGACTGAATCACAAGCTGCAACAGTAACTTCTTGATTGATTTTGAACCTACTGCCATATCCTCATGCAGTGGTCTGTAAAGCCACTGCAGGTCCTGGATGCATCTGGCACCCCTGGCTAAAGCACATTTACTGGGTGATGAGCAGACTTTGGATAGCTGGTCCCTTAAATGAGGGTTAGTGATGAATGTATTAGTCCATATATCTATGTGCACACATATTTTGTACATAAAAACAACTGTGATGACTGGTCTCAGAGCTTGCTCTGTGCCCAGAGAAATGCAGGAGATTTTCTGACTTACTTGTGCTGCTACTTCAGTCTGTCTGGCTGCAGACTTGGAATCACTGTGTTGCATTGTTTACTCTACTGCACTGCAAAAATGTATTGATCTGACTGGCTGTAAGGCTGAATCCAATAGCAGTGGCAAATTCTAGGTGAAATAAGGATGTTTACAGACAGTGGAGCAATCCTTTGTCCATAAGGAGTCTTCCTGTAGATTCCTGTTGTCACTGGCCCAGGCAGGAGAAGGGTTTAGCCAACAGTAGCCTACAGAGCAGTATCGGAACTGTTTCACCTCATAGATGTAGCAGTCGAACAAAGTGATTTAGCAAGAATGTGGCAAAGAGGAAAAATGGAATATAGGGCAATGTTTAACATACACTTGAGACTGGGTCAGGAGAAATGCCTGATAAGGGGCCTGGGCAGGATCTGGGAGCAATAACACAGACTTCAGGGGCTGTGGTCAAATCCTCCTTCTTGCTAATGCAGCAATGCTTTTACCATTCATGGAAACTGAATGATTAAGGAGCACATCTTTGAGGGTTGAAAGAGGAAGCAGAGGAGGCATGCAAGCTTTTCAAGTTTTTCAAATGCCCTTTTTTTTTTTTTTAAGTTAACCTTTCCAGAATAAATCATGCTAAAATTGAGAGCTTTGATCCATAAGAAGCATTGTGTGCAATCAGACCAAAGGCCATCTGATCTGCTGTTCTGCCTCTGAGAATAGCCTGTAACAGGTGATCACAGAAGCATAAATAAAATACAAGGCTTGTATATACAGAGGTCGTTCTCTGACACCATTCTAGCAGTCTATGGACTTTCTCAGCTTTCTGGCAGTTCCTTCTGGACCTGGTCTTAATGAATGTACTTGTCCTTTTCTAAAAATCCTTTTTTGCTTTTGGCCTCTAAAGTGTTCTGTAGTAACAAACCCTAAATTCAATGCATGTACAAAAAAAGAACTGTTGTCAGGCTGTTTTAATGGTTTCCTTGATGACTACCTCCTAGCTACTATGGGATCTGACTGGCATTTCTGTCCTCTTGTTCACTATCATTTTTCCACTTCTGCTCACTAACAGAGTGGATAAACAGATTGTTTTTGTCTCTACAGTGGGCAGATTGACATTTCACTCTGCTTTCTTGCCATTTAAATTACATATCCTGCTGTCATAAGTAAATCCTCTTGTGATACCTAAAAAAATTAGATCCCAGTTATTAGAAGAGACCTGAAAACTAACATGCCTACTTGCCAAAAAAATAGTTAAACATCAGAAAAACACAGGTTTAGTTTTCTTGCTTTTTGTTTAGAGAAACCATCTGGGTTTTTAGCTGCACAACAAATTCACAGCAAAGGCAATTGATGCACTCCCAACACAGAAGCAGCTGATCAAAAGACTTTCAGGGGCTGGGATGCAGTAGATGTTGTTACACTCCAACAGCTGTCTGTAGTTGATGGTAAAATGCAATTGATTGATTCACTGATTGATTAATTACCTTTCCTTGAAGTATACTTAATTTGAATGGCAAGCAGGGCCATTTTACTCTATTTACCCTGCAGAATGTCTTGAGATGGTAAAACACCAAAGGTATTGTGCCCTCTGTTGAACTTACTCATCCTCCATGGGTTAAATTCTATATAGCCTTCTGGGAATGAGCTGTAGCTTTACAGCTAGGTCTGTCAGCTCATATTATGAGCAGTGTTTCATGAAATTGTTCCTGGTAATGCGGAAAAAAAGAGGTGTTGGAAATGACACCATCACTTGGATGTAGAAGTGATAGCTGAGTTATCCTGTTGGCTTCACGTGTGTAGCTCATGTGCCTAAAGCTACTCACTGTGTTTGCAGGATTTTTGAAAGTGGCATGATTTTGCCATACTTTGGTTACCACTCTGAAGATGTTTGGGAGACTTTTTTTCTCTCCTTGTATTTATTTCACTTTGTTAGCAAAGATCAGATATAAATTTATTAGGCTGATGTTGTTCCACTTTTTGTTCTGAAAAGAGCAGTGTCATCTGGTGCTTCCTTTTCCTCCCAGGCTTTTAAAATATTTATTTTTTTTAATTGTGCAATAGGTTAATTAACTAATTAGCACCATGTTGATATATATGGTCAGGTTTTCCAGGAAGTCCTTTATCTTCTTGTTGCTTCATCCTGGGTGACTTCACAAATAGTCCAAGAGGCTGATTTCACTTGTCCTTCCTTTCCTTCTGTGCTTACACATCAGTGTGCTTTACTTTCTCTTCCCTATGGTGGATGCCAGAGCTTTTTTTTTAACCTGTCAACTAACAGGATATCCTTTCCAGAGAAAGTCTCTCATCTGCTTGTCTTCTTGGTTGCCACACCAGTTACTGAAAGGTAATGTTCACTTGTTTTCAGATTCTCTCCATGGAAATCAGTCTCATGCCTTGACTCCAAGGGCTAGTAGAATTCCTTAGGCTTATCACACACTGCTTAATTACTTAATTTGAGAGAACAAACTTGCTTTTTTGCATGATATAAATCTGCTCCTTAAACTCAGCATGACTGAGGACGCACACAGCCTTGTAGATCCAGAGTGGAGGTTTCAGGCTCTGGTGGAACTAGTTCTTCCCTGAAGATAAAATCTGCTGAAGTTGAGCTATTTACCTGCTCCTATGGCAACAGAAGTGAGTCTGTGTGAGGTGACCACATTTGTTTTTACTAGATTTTGCTGATCGTGGTTCTTGATGAGTGCTAGAAACCTGGGGCTGTGACCTGTAAAATGAACCTCTCTTGCTCTCCAGATAAAATGTGGTTGGTGGTGCTGGGGGTCACAGGGGCAAAGAGCAGTGCTTAGGAATTGTGTTGGAAGTCTGCCAGCAGAGGTTGAAGGTACAGCAGTATTCAAATAAGCTGTCATTTGGTGCTTGCCCAAGATGTCCCCTCTTGTAATCAAGTCACCAACCTCCCAAGGGGGTGGGAAAGATGGGAATGGTTCTGTTGCTACTCAAAAGAGCCAGACTAGCTCTCTTTGGCATCTCTATCCTGACCATGCACAATGCCAAGAGGATGCCTGTCCTCTGGATCTCTTTCCCTGTTTGGCTGGTCTGTGTGGAGCACCATGGGGCCTACAGCTGTGGTCCTGGTTTTGGACAGAAAGTAATGAAGCTTGGGCTCATGGCTCTCTCGTTCTGGCCTGCAGTGGTGAGTGGTTCAGAAAGAGCCACTCGGCTGAATGTGTGCCTTCTGTGTTTCTTTTGGTATAAGTTTGTATATTTAATGTATATGTGTCCAGTTAATTATGTGGGAGACCTTTTCTAAGTCAAACAAATAAACTCTATACCGTGTTACATTTAGATACTGTGTTCATGGTGTCCTTTTAATTTCTCTGCTCAGTTCCTGGATTGGGGGCGTTTTTGTTGTTTATTTGTCAAGAACCTGTACTGTCTGGATTAGAGCAGGTTTCTGTGTAACTTGTGAACTTCTTTGGTCAGTGTTTGGTGGTATTTGTTAAAAGAAATGTGGGCAGCTAAATTCTCCACAAGTTCAGTGTTTTGTGGCTTTGAGTCCCTTAAGAGAGACTAATTCATTCCTGCTTTCTTGCTGCTGGAGTAGGCTGCAGCAGATGACCACTTTAGTTGTTTGAGGTTTTTTGTTGTTGTTGTTTTGTTAGGTTTTGGTTTGTTTTTTAAATTACTTTGCAGCTGAAATGTGTCTTGCTGCAGCTATAAATGCATCTGACAAAGTGCCACCTCGGTTTTCCTTTCCATCTTTCTTATATAATTTGTACCCATCAGCAATGACATTTAATTTATGAAACTGAGTCCCTGTGCTACATTTCAGTTTTACCTGGTACAATGTAATCCTTGACATTTAAGTAACTCACAATCTCTTGTTTCCCATGCTCCCTTTGTTTGTGTGTACAAAAGCCCATTTTAAAATTCCTGACCATGTTTCAGAATAAATCCAGCCTCTATTTTACTTTTGGGCATTAGGGTACATAAAAAAGTATTTGCAGTAAACAAAATCTTCGTCTTTCAGTGTTTTAAATCCATGTAGCAATTACATTTCTACTGTTTAAGAGGAGTCTGTCAAATCCAAGCTTGTTTCACAGGGTATCTCAGGGCTCTGCAGATCCTGGGCTTCTTTCTTTATAGCAATAGCACCACCATGCCTTTTCTTTTTCTGTTTTAGGGAGGTTCTCCAAGAAAGAAAGATAAGACTGGCCTTCCCCTCATTCCTCTGCTACTTTAGTATTACACTCTTGTTTCTTGACACTTTTGTCTCTTCTCTGGCAAAACCAGGGAGCACTCCAGGATTGAATGACCCCTTTGTGTCTCTAGAACTTACATCCCCTGTCCTTAGCCTGCTGAAGAAATGCAAATTTGGAAATCCTCATTAATAAGCAAGGCTTAGGAAAAGTAGAGTCAGTGACTGTAGGAACCAACTTGGAAGGGAAACCTATGGATGTAGATGAAAATGGTAAAGCCTTCATGCTGCTAGCAAGGCTGGCACAGGTTTTCCTAATTCTTTGCACAACACGTATTTCTCATCCTTCTTGCAAGTCTGGGCATGTGTGCTTGGGGAGTTTGGTTACAGAAAACCACAGCATGACATACAGCACTCAGCATCCAAATGTGGGCAAATCTGCAGGGCTTCTCAGCAAGATAAGGAAGTAAGAGAGTAGGTGGAAGTGTCTGCACAAGAACTTAGGGGCACAGTAGCTGCTGTATCCTAAACTCATCACATAATGTGTTCATGTCTTGAGTTTTAGAGATGTTTCTAATTCTACTCCTCTCTACCTTTCCAGCCTATCTGTCTGTAATATCAACTTTAGCCTTTCATCTGACTTGTCAGGTTTTATTTTCTTTTTCTAAAACATTAGAAATGTCACTGGTAGGAGAACTGTAGGCATAAAACAGCCCTCCTGCCTGCCTTGAGTAGAAAGCAGCAACTTCTAGATGACAGAGT